TACATTGCCCACCAAACGCAAGGCCCAAGGCCCAAGACCATGACAATTCCCCACTGAAAGCTCCCAAAATTGTGCCCCAAGACGAAATTGAGGACAACAAAGAAAATCAGATGAGCAAGAGCAACAATTTGGGAACTCTTGTTCCCAAATCTAAAACCGACGATCAAGAACCTGAGGTTGATGCGAAGGAAGACGAAATGGTGACTACGAGGAAAAGGATGAAGATGATGATGAGGGGGATGCTCAAGTGGACAAAAAAGGGAAGGGGATTTTGATAGAAGAGGAGGAAGATGACGAGGATGATAACGATGATTCGAGTGATGGTGAGGATGATGAATCAGATGCTGAGAGCGATTTGTCTGATGATCCGTTGGCTGAGGTTGATTCAGATAATGGAGACTTCATCTCCGTCGGTGAGAGGAGAAAGTGCAGAGGAAATTCATTTTTTTTTTTTTGTATGACCATTCGATATCCAGAAGCTCATCCGGTATCCAGAAGCTCATCCGATATCCAGAAGCTCATTGGGTCACTGACTAATCCGGATTCGAGCTGGGCTGGACCCAATGGGTGGCAAAGCTCTCCCTCATGAGTTTTAACGGAGCTGCATTCCCAGACTTGAATTCAAGACCTCTGGTTAAGCTGGAAGAGTCCCAGCCAACTTATCCACCCGCTCATGGGTAGAGGAAATTCATTTTGAAATTGAAATTCATGGGTTTGAATATGAAATTGAAACACACATATTTTATCCTCTTGAATTATTGGGGTAAAATGTATGTATTTTACTTAAATTTAATTACTTTTTATTTATGTAAAAATAAACAGTAATATTAAATTTGAGATATTAAAATTTAAATATATTGTATCAAATTCATGTTTTCAAATAGATCATTAACCAATTTCATGTATACTTATAAGTTATTTACTTATAAATTTTAAAAAAAAAATTACCTTAAAGAATAACAAATATAACCTGTCAAATTATTGCTTTAGACGACCTTAAAGAGATTCAAATATGCATCCTAACATGGGTTAAAAAAACTTGTAGTATCTCTCAACAAGATGTGATCATAGGGTTCTGTGACCTAATTAAAGGTTAAAAGGAAACTTGTA